TAATAATAATAATAATAATAATAATAATAATAATAATAATAATAATAATAATAATAATAATAATAAATAATAATAATAATAATAAAACAATATATAAATATTAACAAAAATAATAAATAAATTCTTTAAAAAGTTAATTACCGTAGATGCATTATGCCTTCGTCCTAATAATTCTATTCTATTATTTTGAGACATCTAATTTTTAAATTGATTAAATTAAATGATTATCATTTTCTACCCCCTACCACTTATAATTTATATATATTTGTTATATACCTTATTAGCTTCTCGTTGTTTCAGTCGATCAAATTGATTTTTTAATCCAATATAATTTTCTCTTAATTTACTTACATTACTAAAATATGTCAAAAAAAATAATAAAATTAATATGAATAATAATTGAATAATATAAATAATAATAATAATTGAATAGTATAAATAATTGAATAAAAAAAATAAATAATTGAATAATAATAAATTGAAATAATAATAAAAAAAAATAATAATAATAATAAAAATAATAATAATAAATAAAATTGAAATAAAAAATAAAAATAAAAATAATAATAATTACGAGAAAGCTTTTTCTTGTTTAACCAATATCATTTCACGTTTAGCCAAACCTTCGTAATCATCGATAGTTCTTTTCAATGATGTTAAACCTACTGAAATTTGACCTATACTTGTGAATAATTTAAAGATTTGAGATTTATTAATTATAGAATTATAGAATTATAAAATTAAAGAATTGATTGATTTAAAGAGTTGATTGATTTAAGAATTGATTTAACAAAAAATAAATAAATAATAATGATATAATTATTATAAAATCATTTCACCTTGTATACCAACCGAAATATCTTCTTCTTTCTCGAATTTTGTTATATCTTCTTGTAATGTTTTTTCTTGTTTTAAAGCGTGTTTATATAAATTATTCATTATTATTATATCAACTGTTATTTAGATCTATTTTTTCTTTCTTTATTATCTTGCTTCTTTCTTTTTTTTGAAAATTAAATTAAAAGAATATATTGAATATATAGAATATATAGAATATCTTGACTTGAGTTAAGTATATAGAATATATAAAATAATATAGAATATACAATAAATTGAAGGAATATTTTGTATTTTAATATAGATAGAATAGAGAAATCAAAAAAAATGTATTTTGCCAACCAATAAATTGAACACAAGTGTATTTCTTATCTGAGGCGGAGAAAAATCAGCCACAAAAATAAATATCTAAGCCACCTCATAATTACATTCCGAAGTCGAAATTCAAAAAAAGGAAATTTAAACAAGGGTACACTAATTGTTGTAATTTCCTTTTTTAATATCAATTTCGAATATTTTTTATAATCATTGGATCAATTTTACTTTACAGTACAAACTTTTTTTTTTAAAATGAAACTGACAAAAAATAATAAATTTATTCTTAGATCATTACCTATACCACATTTGATAGATATTAAAGATAGATACCAACTATCTTATATGAAATTATAACCAGAAATAATATCTACCACTTTAATTATTGACTTTTTCTCGGCACATAATAAAAATTTTGTCTTCAATTAGATGTGAATAAAAATGACCGAAATTTAAAAAAATTTTAAAAAAATAAAAAAAAAAATCAAAAATAATTATATCAATCATTTATACCTGAAAAACTTGATTATTTATTAACTTAATGATAAAAAATGTGATATTAAGTAACCTTAAAGCCTAAAATATAAAGCATTTCAGTCTTATATATTGAGAATTGAGAAAACAATACATGATTAAACTTTAAAGTATAATTTTGAAATGTCTGATCCTCAACCATTAATATTAAACTCAATTTTCAATTTAAAAATCTGAAATCTTTACAGTAGATACTCCATATTTTAAACTTTAACTCTAATTAGTACTATCTTTATTGTTATATTAATAAATAAAGAAATTTTTATATATGGTTCCGATTGATAATTATTTTTCAGATTTTTTTTTGAATTTTTAAAAATGATTAATGGATTTTAAAAAATTTGAAAAATTTCTTTAAAATTCAAATAATCGTTATATTTTTAATTTTTGTTAAAAAATTTTAAAACTTTTATAACATATGTATTCAATTTTTATCTTTAATGTTATTTAGTTTAACTTTAACTATTTTATTATTAAAAACAAAAGTTTTGTAATTATTTTTAAATTTTTAATACAGTATGTCAATCATTTTTAAAAATTTAAAAAAAAAATTTACAAAATAATTACCAATCGAAACTATATATAAAAATTTCCTATCTATTAATATAACAATAAAAATAATACTAATTAAAGTTAAAACATATAATTTAAAAATTTATATGAAACTTAAAGTAATAATAACTTGGTCAATTTCTATCCGATCAGAATGAAACAACTACCATCTGATTCATCTCAATGAGAAAAATCTAATGAGCTATAGATTATATTTCTACGATCATTAGATAATTATATATAATAAATAAATCAAAAAATACAAAAATGGAAATATATTGATCAATATTGAATTAATTCAAATAAAAATAACTTCCTTTAGATTCTTCTCATCGAAATGAATTGAATGGTAGTTGTTTCATCCCAATTGGATAGATATTGATCAAGTTATAATTATTTAAATTTACAATTTAAGAATTTATATAAAACTTAAAATAATGATAACTTTATCAATTCCTATTCAATCAGAATAAAAAAACTACTATTTAATTCATCTTAATGAGAGAAATATAATAAGCTATAGATTATATTTCTATGACCATTAAATAATTATACATAATAAATAAATCAAAAAACACAAAAATGAAAATATATTAACTGATATTGAATTAATTCAAATAAAATAGTTTCCTTTAGATTCACCTCATCAAGGCGAATTGAATGACAGTTATTTCATCCTGATCGAATAGATATTGATCAAGTTATAATTGTTTAAAGATTTGTATAAAACATATAATTTAAGAATTTATATGAAACTTAAAATAATGATAACTTGGTCAATTTCTATTTAATCAGGATGAAACAACTACCATTCGATTTGTCTCAATGAGAGAAATCTAATGAGCTATAGATTATATTTCTATGACAATTAGATAATTATACTAATAAATAAATCAAAAAACACAAAAATGAGAATATATTAATCAATATTGAATTAATTCAAATAAAATAATTTCCTTTAGATTCTCCTCATTGAAACAAATTGAATGGTAGTTATTTTATCTAAATAGAATAGATATTAATCAAGTTATATTTACTTAAATTTTGTTTTTTTTTTGTTCCAGTGAAGTCTTGTCTCAAATTTATTAATTAGAAAAAGAAAAAGTTTTTTACATTATATAAGATTACATAATACAAAATACATAACTTATTTTAATGTTTGTTAGAAAAGATGAGATTCAAACTAACTCATGAGAGATAGGGCTGCAACCTACCGCCTGATAAGTAAACTTGCCCATAATTGCTTGTTTAAATTTTGTATAAATTCTTAAATTATATATTTTGTACAAAACTTTAAACAATTATAACTTGATCAATATCTATTCAATCAGGATGAAACAACTACCATTCAATTCGTTTCAATGAAGAAAATCTAAAGAAAGTTATTTTATTTGAATCTATTTAATATTGATCAATATATTCCTATTTATTTTTAAATTTTTTTAATTTATTAATTAGTATAATTATCTAATGGTCATAGAAATATAATCTATAGCCCATTAGATTTTTCTCATTGAGATAAATCGAATGGTAATTTTTTTATCCTGATTAAATAGAACATCAGGAAATTTTAATGAGTAAAAATTTCTAGAATTTTAATATAGTGTTAAATTTCTGGAATTTTTTACAAAATATTACGGAAATTTCCGGAAAATTTTTGAAAATTTTTCAGATATTAAAATTCCATAATATTATAGATGTAATTTTTCAGAATTTTAATATAGTGTTAAATTTCCAAAAATTTTTCAGAAATTTTCTAAAATATTTGTTTCCAAAAATTTTCGAAAATTTGATACTTTAAAAAAGTACAAATTTTTTAAAATAAATTTTTATATATAAATTATATAAATCTAAATCTGATATTTTTTTTTTTTTTAAAAAAATATCTTTGAAGTATTTCAAGATATTTTTTTTGTTTTTTTTTTTAAAAAAAAATAAATAAAATAAACAATATTTTTATATTTACTTATCTTCTTTTTGAAATCGTCTCACAGGTTCAAGATTCGAGAGTAGATGTAGATTTTTTTTAAAAATTAAAAATAAAAAAAACTTAGATTTTTTTTATTCCTTATTTTACCTTACTTTAATAATATACTTACCATTCTTCTTTTTTGATTCTTGGAGATACTATGAGGTTGAAATAGGCTTCATGAGTTTGAGAAGATGTACTTGAATATTTGTTTTTACTAACCTGGCTTATAAACGGATTGAAAGAGAAATTTTCTTTAATTACAAATACTCACGAATTTACAGTTCCACTTTATATTCAAAACTTTGTGACATAATTTTAACATATTAGTCAAAGTAAACTACCTTTGAGAAACTAATTAAAATTATTCAGAAGATATGAAAGTACTTGAATATTTGTTTTTGCTAACCTGGCTTACAAACAGATTGAAAGAGAAATTTTTCTTTAATTACAAATACTTACGAATTTACAGTTTCATTTTTATAATACATTAATAGTTTAAAACATTAATTCTAATATAATATATTGATTTTAATTTAAATTTTTTTAATT